GGAGGAGATGGATTGTTTAAGTTTAGACTTTGGAGTTAGAGATATTAATATTTGTTTACTTGTATTTGAATATTAGCCTAGGTTGGTTTGGGAAGTCCGGGGGGTGGGGGGATGGGTTATAACATTGTGTAATATCTGTGATGTATTTCTTTTTTTTTTATGATAAAAACAATAAAATTTTATATTGAAAAAAAAATAAAAATTAGATTTCACATTAAAAATCCCTCCCTCACCACCCTGTAAAATAAGTAGCAAAGAAGGCACGTTCACAATTACAAATCTAAATCTTGGCTGTATTCCTTGAAACACTTATAGTTTGTAAAAGTGAAAATTGAAAGAGGACATTTAAAAAATCAACATTCTCCAAAGATATAAACTATCATCTCCACAATGGTTAATACTTGAATAATTCCAAATGTTGAATATACATTAAAAAGTAAAACTGCAAGGATTTCATTCTAATAGTATTTTTGGAGCATAAGCTTTCCCTCTTTCCAAAAGACAGCAGAAAAGCTTCAAAGATGTAACGTAAGAACATGTATTGGATTTTGCTTCCATGATATGAATGTATAACCTTATTTATTTCTTGAATTTATATTTTGCGCATTTCACTGATAAGGTGACTCTCTCAATGTCTTATCTTGAAAGGAGAAGCCTTCTTCCAATTACATTTCACTGTTCTTGTTTAGGAGATTGCCAGATCTGGTACTTCATTCTATTCTATTCTCATTGTTGGAATACGTAAATCTTCAAATATAGTATCAGGCACACAAGACTGTAATTGAAAATGAGTATGTCTGCTATGGGTTGTTAATCTGGAGTACATCAGAAAATAAACTAAGTGCATGGACCTTTTTTCTTCCAAATGTTTGACAACCTGGGGTCTGTCTAATTTTTTTTAATGTGTCTAAAATGCCTTAAATAGCTATGCGATGGACGATTTAAAGAACAAAGACTTACCTACAAGGTACAGTACACTGAAGGAAGTCCACCATTTTCTGAGCATGCTGTTTGGAAGCATAATAGAAATCCAGACCATCTGTAGGTATGTAAATGAAACTGAAATGAAGACCCGTTGCTTATTTATAAGAGATCTTATCTTCCTGGATTTTCATGAAAGCCTAAAAAGTGTTTTGATATTTTCATAGACTAACATAGGTTGACTTCTTTATATAAACATGTTAAGAAAAATTTTAATTCCACCCTAAAATATTTAGGCAGCAATGTAAATGTATTTATTTATCTAACAAATAATAATCCTCAACTATTTCCTTTGTGACCCAGTTTCTTTAAAAAACAAGCATCTTATTCTTGACTGCCAGTAACTCATGCTAACAGTATTGAGACTCTGATCACTCAAAGGCACCAAGAGCTTTACATAAAGAATGTAAAAGCATATAACTTACCATGAATCTCTTTGATCCGAAGAGTGTTCTGGTGAAGCCTGTGCTTTAAAATTAATTGCTCCAAATAATAGAATGTCTTTTTATGTAGTGTCTATAAACAAAATAAGATTTATACATAAGTGGTGTTTATATTCCTATAAAGGGATTAAGACTAGAATCATTTCATTTGAAATCCAAAATTCTGTAGCTCATATAAAGTATGTAGACAGGAATAAATATATAGCCCAAAATAAATATGTTTCCTACAGAAACCTGGAATCAATTTGTTTTTTTATAGCATTCATATTCCACTATTTGGTTGAAAGATTCGCAGAGTTGCAAGAATATTTGTGTTTGGGTGTATGTATGTAAGAAAGAGCAATCACATTTCTACATATCAGATGAAATCCTAGCAGATGAATTGTGTCTTCAGCATTCACTATTAGCGATACATATGCACATATACTGTACATACCTTTTGCCTAACTTGAACGACTGCTTTCCAGAAGTCCTTAGCTTCAACTCGATGGCAATCTTCACACATTTGAGACTGAACAATATACTCTACTACAAAGACTTGCTGAAGAATGGCACCATTCATGACCTAAGTAAGAACAGGAAATTTTTGCCACCTTGAGTGAACTGGCAATTAGGTGGTTTTACAAACTCATTGAATAAATAAATCTCTCCCTGAATTGTTTTCCTTCTTCAAAACTTATGAGACATGTAGTTTATGGTTGTCATTTTTTCTTCTGCTAGAAGACGACTTTTATAAAGCACAGATAAATGATGGAATATCTAGAAACCACGTACCACAACAAACGGTTAAAGATACATCCACGGAAGAAAAACCGATGGAAAATATGTTCAAATGTTAAACAATCTTCAAATATGACAAGGGGTGTCATACAGAAGACAGAGTGGATTAATTCTCTATTTTCATAGAGGACAAGACTAGAAACAATGGATTAAATGTACAAGGAATATTTTCAGTCTGGACATTAGAATTTATTGATTCAGCATAACACAATGATGAGTTTTGCTTTGCTGAAATTCTTCAAACGATGGTTGGTAATCTGTTAAGAGATACTATAATGGAGCCTGCACTAAGTAGGGATTGGATTAGATGACAATACTATGAGTGGGTATGCTCCTAGTCCCTCCCCTAAATATTGTCAATTCATGGGAACTAAAAAGTGTGTCTTTTCCATCTCAGCTCCTGTCCCTGTCCCCTGAACTTTGGCAAGTCTCTATCCTAATGCCTTCTGTAAAACTTTGAAGATCTGGTTTCCCCCCCAAGCCCTGAGATAAGATTGGATAAATGCACATTAGAAAGTTGACATGGCATCAACTTGGTTTTAATCTGGTTTAATATATATATATATATATATATATATTATATTTTCTTAGCTTTTGATTGGGAGCTACCTAGAATTGGTTAGAAGATGGGCAGTTGTATTAACATTTTAATTAAACAAATAAATGAGTAAAAAATTAAACAATCTATGATAAAAGTTACTACCTTTAGTGACGTATATGCAAAGTGAGAATAATTAATCTGTTTGAATTTAAGACTGTGCTTTGAAATAGAATTGTGAATAGTGGAGGCATCCGGAGATGCTTATATTATGTACCTACTACAAAAAAGGATTCCTTAATGTTTTATTGATCTGCATATATCCCAAATCTATACATGCCTCTGGGGAAATGAGATATTTTGTAATTTATTTGTTTAGAATAACTTTTGTATACTGCCCAATTTCAAAATACTTTGCAAAACTGTAACTACAACCTATGTTCACCATCTACATAAAAAAACTCAACGGAACAATCTGGCTTTCAAAGCTTTGTGAATCACAGAAAAGATGGGCATTCATTCTACCTCCCAGTAGTGTTTCTTCAATTAAAAATGACACCGTTCCTACATACTTAAACTGATATGAAATGGATATCCTGACAAGCCTCCTGAGAATCAATGCACAGAGTATGCCACATCTGGTTAGGAGAGACAATCCTGCAAGTATATGCATTCCATATGACTTTAAAAGTCAAAAACAGTATCTTGAATTGGGCTTGGAAGTCATCAGTATTCAGTGCAGCAACTTCAACATACCCATCACATTATTAAGCTTACTCCCACATTCAGCAGCCAAACTGCTGTATCCAGACTCAAATTGTACTTCTGAGTTATGTTTAAGGCCAGCCCCTTGGAGGCAGCTTTATAACATCCAACCGCAAAGCTTGTGGAATATACCCTCCCAAAAAATACATTTAGTAGATGTATATCATTATTAGAAACTCAACAAGTCATGAACAAGAAAACCCTCATTCACCTAGCTAACATAACTTGGGTTTCTGATAAGGCATACTTGTATTTCTTCACTAATTCTGTCATTCTGCAAAAATATTTTAAGTTTACTTGCCTCTTTTTGTATAGTCAGCTTTACTTTAAGTCTTTTGGAGTGTGGTTCAGTCCATACAAATCCTGCATCAATCAACCGAACCTGTTAAGAGGAAACAGTATAATTAT